TAGACTTATAAATAACTTCTATTATTATTGTAGTTTCTGTAACATCAGTAGAAAGTTTCTACCCACAACAAATAAAATCATCAACAAAGTGAAACTTAATCAACAAAACAGAATAGATAAGTAAGTTTGTTGGATATTTTGTTGCTAATTTGTTTAATGAGATGATAAAAATTCAGATAATATTTTAAGGAAATTCGTTTTAAAATGCCTTCCAATTTTATTTCTGTCTTAAGGCTCAAAGCATTCCCCTAGCTTAGAGTAGTGAGTTCAAGCGCAATAACCCATCGTTCCAAAGTATTGACCAGAAAAGGCTTTGTGGAATTTAATAAACTGAAAGTGTGATTTACTGATAGTAGACTGTACCTAGGAAACAGTGCACTGCTTGCTCTCCCAAATGTTGGGTGGTTATTGTACCATATAGGTTTTAGCCCCTCTGTAGCCTAACCCCCTGAAAGTTTAGCCGAGACAAGATCCCCAAAACCTTTTGCGAACCGTTCTCGTTTAGCTCTCTCTCTCTTTCATTTTGCATATCCTTTTCGCATTCGTCCTGCGTCCTCCGAAGTCCTCTGAGACCTCCCTCTCACACACACTCGCACGTTGGCTTTGTTGTTGGCGTTTGTCATTGTCCTTCTTGCGTTCGCTTTTGCTTTCGCTTTCGCACTCGTTTATTTAGTTCAGTGTGTTCAGTTGCGTCCTGGCTTTATATCCTGTCGCTATCCTTTGCTTCAGCGCTGGTCCAAGCGGTTTCAGTTTGAGGTGTTGAGTGCATTTGAGCGGTTGCAAATAAAAACAGAACTGTGCGTCAGAACAGGCCCTATAACTCTGGCAATTATTGGATGGTGTTCCGTGGAATAGATATCCGCAAGATCGAACTGTGCGGGATATATATACATAGGCTATATATCCTTGGAGTAATTATTGCCGCTTTTGGCTAAACCGGCTTGGATCGTAACCCCTTTTCAATTCTCCATCGGTGTTGTGCGTCTGCACACTTAACGGCTTCAAAATTAACTACTCAAAGTACCACCACAACGCTATGTCCTTATCGGCCATAGCCAAGGTAAGCGAATCCCAGCGTCATTGGCGCCTTGTTTTTGGCATTTGGCAAAAATCCATTCCCGCAATATCGCTCATACCACGCGGCCAGTAATCTCGGGCTTCGGTGAAGGTCTGGGTTTCACTCATACCCCGCCACAGATGCCGCGCTTTGAGATTGCGCAGAACAGCAAGCTTTCATGCCCCGCGTACACACTGCAAACGATTGCAAAACAGGGTTGTCAGGGCTAGGCAAAAAGTTTGCAATAAGGATATGCATCATTTTTTCAACTCCTGAATTTGGAAGAATTCTTTTCTTTTGGGGATGAACGAAGGAATAACATATCTAAAAGATATGTTGATTTTTTTTGTTTTCTTTGATCTTGATTATTAAGTTTTGAAACCTACATATAACAGTTTATTCAGTTTTGTTGTAATTATATTTCTTACTCCCAATGTTTGTACTTGACCAAATTACAAAGTTTAAATTTTTTTTAATTTATGCTTTTTAACCTCTAAATATAACATAAGCTCCAACACATAGGGGCTAATTTCAGCGAAAACTCGACAACCCTGGCCTACGCTTTTGACTCAAACTCCAACTCGCGAACTCAGCGAGCAACCCCTAAAAAAGCACACCCTCTCGAAGCGAATGGCGAAACTTCTGAGCCAAATTTTCTCTTGAGCAGGGGTCCTGTGTCCTTGGCGCTGCCTTCGCGCTGCGGACTCAGGACAACGACAACTTGAATAAGGTTAATGCCCCTAGCCGACCTTGGGGTGCGACACAGTTCGGGACTCGGGAGCTCGGGACCTCGCAACGGACCTCGTATGTCGGATATTGGAACTCGGCCCTTACTTCGGGACCCCATCGTCCCAACTTTCCCATGAGTTCATTGAACTTTTAGGGAACTCATTATGCTTTCCGTGTATACAGTTTAGTTTCGTGTGGGTGGGTACACGTGTTATAGGCTCTGCTGGGTTGATTGGCCCGGCCGGAACAGCCAGCTGTGTGTATATCATTTTAGGGCTCGTCCTCTTCGGCGGCCATTGTATACTGCATAGGGTATGGGGTACAGGCTATAGGGTGTAGGGTCCGCTGCCCCCCGAACCGCCCGAAGCTCTCCACTGTTGCTGTGCAGCTGTTGTCGGGCGCTATTTTTGGTGCAAGTCGAACTTGACGCTGTGCTTTTTTGTCAGTCTGTCGTTGGCTTTGCTCCTGTCTGGACACCATGAATCATGTGGGTATATCTACATACACATATCTATCCGAAAACCTCGGAGAAAATCCCTGTTATCTGTGAATTGAAAGCGATAAGTGCGTAATTGAGAGCTCTAGTTTATCGCGAAGTAAACATAGAAAACAGCGCTAAATGCAAATGATTAAACCAGTTTGACTAGGCGACTATGATGGGGTGTGCTTTGGGAACCCAACTCGTTATCAGCGGCAACCTGTTCTGTGCTATTTGTGTTTTCATCTTGAAATTAGAATAAATAGATTTCGTAATAGAGTTTGTGGGCCCGTCACGCCATTCGGCGCTGGCCAGTTGTGGTAAAATGTCTACTAATCCCAATGTTTCCTCCTCCGACGCACAGCCAATACTCTACTCGTATTGGCGCAGCTCGTGCTCCTGGCGCGTGCGCATTGCGATGAACCTGAAGGAGATACCCTATGACATCAAGCCGATCAGCCTGATCAAATCCGGTGGCGAACAGCATTGCAATGAGTACCGCGAGGTCAATCCCATGGAGCAGGTGCCCGCCCTGCAGATCGGTGAGTCCCGCCTGAGAATCCATTCCAAAAGAAAAACTCCCCTTAATTCCTATGCATCCCCATCCCCAGATGGTCACACCCTCATCGAGTCGGTGGCCATAATGCACTACCTGGAGGAGACCCGTCCCCAGCGACCCCTGCTCCCACAGGACGTCCACAAGCGGGCCAAGGTGCGCGAAATCGTCGAGATCATCTGCTCGGGCATCCAGCCCCTGCAGAACCTCATCGTGCTCATCCACGTGGGCGAGGAGAAGAAGAAGGAGTGGGCCCAGCATTGGATCACACGTGGCTTCCGGGCGGTGGAGAAGGCGCTATCCACATCCGCGGGAAAATACTGCGTGGGCGATGAGATCTCCATGGCCGATTGCTGCCTCGTACCTCAGGTGTTCAACGCCCGAAGGTAAACTTGATAGTGAAAAATGGTCTACCTTTAAAGCAGTGGTTAGCAGCAGTAGGGTAGTGAAACATGCTATTTTAAGTTCCGTGTTTATTGGCAGAGCGGTGGCAGAGAAAATGTGTATCCCACGGGCCGCCCTCACTGCTTGTCCTGGTCACCACTGCTTTGAAGCGTAGCGAATAAACCTTAGAGTATAATTGTTTAATGTTAAAAACTTTAAAAGATTGTAAAATTTTATAAATTATTTTTTAAAAATCTGTATCTAACCACGCTTTCTTTGCAGATTCCACGTGGACTTGCGCCCGTATCCCATCATACTGCGCATAGATCGCGAACTGGAGAGCAACCCGGCCTTCCGGGCGGCTCACCCCTCCAATCAACCGGACTGTCCGCCGGAGCTGCCCAACAAATAGAATTTTCCGACGCCAACTGCAAAGCGCCGTAAGACGAAAAAGTGAATTGCAGTTCGTAACCCAGGCACAGGACAAACTAAGAACTTAAATTTGATCGGTGGGGCAGGAAGAATGGCGGCGATGGGATTGGATAGATATAGAGGAGATGGCAAAGCTGGCGAGGATTCCATTAACCAGAAACAGTCGGATGTGATTTAAGAAATTGCTAACAGCATTTAAATATGCATAAATGCATAAAAATACTATCGATAACATAACGAAATTCCTCACACGAAATTCAAATGCAAAATTCTCAGAAAACGGAACGAAAACTAATAATTATAAATTCTTCAGATTCCCTTAGTTTGTCATTGTGAACATGATCTAAAAGATGAACTCATATATATTAAATGTAACTTATTTTTATGCATTTTATTTAGGCTAACAAAACATAACAAATTCAAGGAAAAGAAATAATGACGAAAAGCAAAATTCAATTCAGGGATTTAAAAACAAAAACAAATTTAGAAACACTATCAAAGATATACAAATATAAATGATGTATATGTATGTATAACTACTTCATGTCAAAGTTGGGCAAATGCTAAACGAATCGTTCACAAAGTACAAAACTTCAGTCAACCAACAAGTAAACTAAACCAACATACAAACAACTATACACTAAATCGAATAAATCCTAAGTAATTTACAAGAACTAAGCAACAGCATCGATCGACCTGCGAAAGATCGATGATGGGTCACCTATTTGATGGTTCTAAATGTCAATGCAATGCCTCTTTGATACCACGAAAGCATAGATAACTAACCAAGTATTTCTCTCAACTCAATGCACATAGACGAATGATAACGCCAACCCATTAAGTGCACAGTATTTTATTAGCAAGTTGATGTAAATTGGATAGTGAGAGTCTTTTCACAACCCCTGTACGAGTAGATGTAAGCCTGCCGATGCCAAGTACATACACTTACTTACTATCCTGCACGACAGTACAATACCACGGATCGGAGGACGAACGCCGATAGTCTCATCAAACAAATATATAAAATAAATATAGGTCGAGCTGCGCATTTTCGCATACCAAACGAATACCAAATTGAATACAAACCAATAACTAATATGCATAATTTCTGAAATATTGTAACAGTTCCATATACTATAAATAAATAAACTTCAAACTAAACTAAAAGCCTCCTAAATAAATCATTCTTTATCAGTCATTTTACATTTTCCAGATTAACCAATTTATAACTCTAGCCATCAGTCCAAAAATTTAATAAATCTATTAAAAAATGTAATACATTTTGCAAAAAATATTGCCTGCTTTTTAGAGAACCCCTTGAATACAAGCATTTTATCGATAGTTCAGCCACAAAAATCTCCAATCAGAACAGCTGTGCTTTAGGCCGCTATTGATTAGCAAAAGTAAACAGGTTTTTTCACAAACTGATAAATTGTGCTACTTAATAGGAATATTCCATTAAATATTAACAACATATGGCTGCAATTAGACAGTTCGCCAACAAAGGCTTATATTTATCGGAAATAAATAGGCCTTTTAGGTCTAACGGCTTCCTACGCAATATGTCAACAAATCCGGCGCCTATACTGTATTCCTTTTGGTCAAGTTCGTGTTCATGGAGAGTTCGCATTGCACTTGCAATTAAGAAGATAGAGTACGAAATGAAACCCACTTCTTTGCTAAAGACAGACTGCGAACATGCCTATACGGATGAATACAGGGAAGTAAATCCCATGCAAAAGGTTCCTTCGTTGAAGATTGGTAAGAAACAGCAGAAGTACTTTAATTTAAGGTATCTAACTATTATGATCCAATAGATGGACATACATTGTGCGACTCGGTGGCTATAATGCATTACCTGGATGAAACCCGACCTCAGCCTGCTCTCCTGCCCCAAGATCCGGTCAAAAAAGCAAAGGTCCGAGAAATTGTGGAGCTAATTTGCTCGGGAATTCAGCCTTTGCAGAACAGTGCGGTCATGGATCATATAGGCAAGGATAAGAGTTTGGAATGGGCACAGCACTGGATTTCTCGAGGATTTCAAGGTCTGGAGAAGATTCTCTCCCAATCGGCAGGAAAGTTCTGTGTGGGAGATGAGCTTACAATGGCTGATATTTGTCTTGTGCCTCAGGTTCGCAATGCCAGAATGTAAGAATCTAAAAACTGTTCGGTTTCCGAAAATTACTTTATAATCGTAACATTATTCTTCAGATACAAAGCTGACCTGAGTTTATATCCAACCATAGTTCGTTTGGATCAGGACCTTCAAAATCTGGAAGTTTTTAAAACCACCCATCCCAGTAAACAGCCAGATTGCCCACCAAAATTTGTCAAGAAATAGTCAACTCTTTATAAGCAATTGTTGGATATTTCGTTATTGCATTTATTCTGTATAATAAATATTTTTCTTGTTTAGTAAACGAATTGCTAATTTTGAAAATTTAAAAGCACAAGGCATGGAAGTACTGCCTGCTTTTGGGAGAACCTTGTTAATACTATAATATTGTGTAGAGTTATACAAAAAAAAATCTCCAATAAGCTCAGCTGTGCATTGATTTGCTATCATTAAGTATACAGGTTTTTTCACCAGTTGCATTTATTGTGTTACCGATCATAAAAAAGATTCAGCTGTGCATTGATTTGCTATCATTAAGTATACAGGTTTTTTCACCAGTTGCATTTATTGTGTTACCGATCATAAAAAAGATTCAATTTTATTTTTAAAAAGGAAGTAGTTCAACAATTGGACATGCAACTAGCGCAAATATGCAGATCTCCTGGATCAACGTTTTTAGTTCGAAGTATGTCAACAAATTCGAAGCCCCTCCTTTATTCTTTGTGGTCGAGCTCTTGTTCATGGAGAGTTCGCATAGCACTGGCGATTAAGAATATAGATTACGAAATTAAACCGACTTCTTTGACGAGAACAGAGAACGATCATGCGTATACAGATGAATATAGAAAAGTAAATCCCATGCAGAAGGTTCCTTCCTTAAAGATTGGTATGTAATAGGAGCAATATTTGTTTTTAGTACTAAGTTTTTACCCCAATAGATGGACACACGCTGTGCGACTCAGTGGCTATAATGCACTACCTAGAGGAAACTCGCCCCCAACCTGCTCTCCTGCCCCAAGATCCGGTAAAAAGAGCAAAGGTGCGGGAAATTGTGGAGCTTATATGCTCGGGTATTCAGCCGCTGCAGAATATTGCAGTCCTGGACCATATAGGCAAGGATCAGGGTTTGAAATGGGCACAACATTGGATCAACCATGGATTTCAAGGTCTGGAAAAGATACTTTCCCAATCGGCGGGCCAGTTCTGTGTGGGAGATGAGCTTACCATGGCGGATCTTTGCCTCGTGCCGCAGGTTCGCAATGCTAGAAGGTAAGACTCATAAGTTTTGACTTCCCCGAACCACTTAAAAACAGTTACTCTATTTTGTAGATATAAAGTTGACCTGAGTCCATATCCAACTATAGTTCGTTTAAGTCAAGAACTACAACTACTGAATTTTTTTAAAACCACTCATCCCAGTACTCAACCCGACTGTCCACCGGAATTTCTTAAGAAATAAACAAATCATACAAGATGTTATTATAAATTCTTAAATAAGTTCCAACAGATATCGTATATTAAACAGCCTTCTACAACTCAAAACCAAATCGAAGTAAAACTTCATTGAATTATAATATAATTTTTATTAGTTTTGTCATTTTTATATAATCGTTCTTAAATGTGTAATGTGTAATTCACGTAATTCATTTATGTACCGTCCTAACTTTGCATTTCTAATTTTCCATCCTGGATGCGGATCTTTATAATGTTTCTGTGTATGTAGTATGCACTTATTGGCTTTCCTGGTTGGAGTTGTGTCTCTGTGGTTGTGTCTGCGTGTGTATATATGTATTCAACAAATTTTACTATAAATACTATTACATACATACAGATGCGCCGTACGCATTACATAACATAACCATTACATTCGATATACATGCATGTTCTGTACTGTATCTAACATCGGTACCGATCGATCGCCTACCTAGCTTAGCTTTCATTTTATTGTTGGCCGTTTAGTTCGCCATTACCGTAAAGTTTTAGTCGCAATCTGCATTATAATCGTCATAATCATTTTCATTTTCATTTCGATTTTCATTTTCATTTTTTGTTCGAGTATGATTCACTTGGGGTTATATAGCTATGCATATATATGTATGTAGAGAGGAGTAACTGTTTGCATACTTTTCGTTCGCAATTGTACAAGTTTTCTTATCGTTTCATTAATTGCAAAAATTATGTTTTTCGATTTGTTAAAACTTGAATGAGCTACTTTAAAGAATCTTCTTGTAGGGATACCTTTTGATTTAATTGTTTAAAGATTTCACTAGACTATTTTCTTCTGTTACTTGTCTTACATTTTGGTTTTTGGTTTTTGTTCTTTCAAATCTATACCTCGTAAAATGAAATTGATAAATAAAGAAAACCTACTTTATACCGTGGTTATGTGTGATTTTTTCCCATTGCGATTTTCAAATGCTAAATGAATAAATCTATAAAATCGTTTGCTTTGCTACTTGATTTTTAAAAAACTTCAATTGATTATACTTTGTAAATAGAGCATAACTAAATATCGTTGATTTCATTTTGCATTTATTTTGTTTACTTCAATTAGGACACTTTCACGTTCCTTCTTATTTTGGGTTCATTTGCACTCAGAAAGGGATTTGGTTTGCTAAAATTTTATTTAAATATTTTGCTAATATGTATAAGTAAAACTTGTTTCTCTGCGCAATGTATTTTCGTTCTTATTTCGGCTATTTAAACACGATTCGCTACATGCTCCACAATAATCGCGCAAACCGAATCGATGGATCTGTTTGCCACGTTATTTTTATGGAGCCTCCATTTTTTTCGCACCTAGGTTAATATTACATTCGCTTAGCCTATATAGGCGGCATTGTATTTACATACATTTAAATACTCTATATACGTTAATTTGTTTACACCTTCCGACTTCATTTCTCATTTTGTCATTATTATTATCACAGTCAAATCATAAAAGATTTAGTACTTTTACTTTTGAATGAGTTTCCATGATGTTTGCTTTTTGCTAATGTTCCGCGCTTTCGAATGACCATATCGATCAGTGTCAATATCGTTATTATTAATTCTTGTCTATATAAACCTATTGAGAGATCGAAAAGTGTGGCTGCTGCTGCTGTTCGTAATTCCTATATAGTGTGCAACGGGATTTGACGTTGAGTGAAGAGTGTGCTAGTGTTTCTCAACCGGGGATCTCCTAAGTAACTCCCAGAGGGTCCCAAGGTAATGCTATCGAATCAATTATTTGAAATTCTATTCGCTTGTATAAAATAATTCCTACATGTTGAGCGAAATGTTGGACTTTCGGGGATCTGTTGCTCTTGATATTGGCCAGATATCGTGAAGGCCGTAATTTCTATGTAACTTTTGTTTCTGTTCTCTAAGGTACTCACGTATGCAACTTCTTAGGTTTTTGGTTGCGAAAGTGTTTAAGTGAAGAAGACTCGAAAATTCGATTTTTACTTGTTACGATCCGAAAGTTAATATTGTTTTTCCGTTAACTATTTTGTACACTGAATAAGATTTCATTTATATATGGTGTTGTTGTGTTTTTTTTTCACTATGACTGTGATGCAGTTTTATGAATTATGACTTAGGCTAGGATCATTTAACGGCATTACGTCTACGCTTTTTCTCCAGCACCTCCAATACTGCACAGCAATATCTGGTGCATCGGTTTCTTCGACTTTCGATTTTCGATCATTGAGAGAGTTTAAAATCTTTTCGGCTACTTTACATATTTTTGATGTAGACCCATGTGTGCTAAATGAAACTGTGCCAAATGGAAACGCAGGTAAATAAATAGTTTTTGAGGTCCGTGCCGAGCTGCACTGATCGATGTTTTTTTTTTGAGAGAGTGAGGCTCTGCACGGACCTTTTTTCGGGGTACTGGGTTCTTTTGTTTCAATCGTTAAACCGCTTTTATTTGCTTGAATTAATTAATATTAATTTTATTTATCACACTAACGACTACGTTTTATACTTTTAGTGTATGTGTATATATATAGTATTTAATATTTTACTAATGTTGTATGCTTCTGTTGTGGTTGCTGAATGAACGTCTCTCCGTAGCCGGGTCGGCCAATCCGATAGATTTATACATACAATGCTATATGAGGTTATATAATGATTCAGTTAGTTCTCCGATTCGATTCTCCGACCTATCAATACCAGCAAAGTTCGCATCAAATCGCAAACATATCATTTCATTTACGTTCTGCTCTGCTCGACTGCCATGTACGTTTACGATTTTTAGTATATGTAGGTATACATACAGGTATATGCATATGGGGGGTGTGTACATTTATAATATAATGCATACGCATCGTAATGTTTAATTGTTCTAATAACAGTGTGGGTGGCAAAGCATAACAAATTATAATAAAGTTACTTCGCTTTTTTTTCGCTTTAAGTATGTAGTTATGTATGTATGTAATATATGTATGTACTATACGAGATTTGATTGATAAATTGAACTCCTCTTTACATATTTGTATTTTAGCAACATACGGATTTCATTTCGAAGAGCAAAACACATTGCCCATTCGCATTAACTTGTTGTTCTTGTTGGGTTTTTTTCTTTAAATGTTCAAAGTCGAATTTGAATTACTTTAGATATTTATGTATTGTATGTATATAGTTAATAAAAGTTGCTTTTATGTTTACTACTTTAACACTAATAGACTCCGTCGTTGAAATAACAGCTGTATTACTTTCTTTTCCCTACCATCTATCCATTCCTCCATTGTTATTGTTATAGATGCCTTTCAATATATAATTTAATAAAACTGCTGAACCCGTGTGTGTAGTACTGGTGAACAGAACTTAATGCGCACGTCCTTCCAAAGTTTTCTAGTTTCGTATGATTGCAGTGGATAGTTAGTTGGATAGTTGGTGTTCTGGGAGGGGGTGGCGATATAGAGGATGAGTTGCATGACAAATGTGCCTGATAAGTGGGTTTCGTGGGTGCCAGTGGCAGTAACAGTTGTATTTGTATCGATGGTAAGCACAAAGCAATCATGCGGCCTAATGGTGCAACTTGGATTTGGGGCAGACTGGGTTGCTATGGCCACCCACATACCATTTCTAGATTTTTTGGTGTTTTTTTTTTTGTCGCGGATGTGGATGGGGGCCTGCGGGTTGCGTGAAGCTTCAATTTGTACAGCAAATAACAAACGCATTCAAACAATAAAATCCAAACAAGCATAAACACGTCGAAAGCGGGACGCGGGTTACCGGAACCGATGGGATCGGATCTGACTCTCATCCGATCGGTTCGACGGCCCCGGGTATCTCCATTTTCCATTTTCCCATCTTCCCCTCTTCGTCACGCCCTCTCAGCCTCGGAGAGGAGGTTACGGATACGGATACGGATGCGGATACTATTGGATCACAAATCGGACATTTCTGAGAAACGGAGTTGGAATCGGCAAAGACCTTTTGCAGTGAATACGTATATGCATATGGGGTGGGGACTGTGACTCTCTCGGACCGTCCATGCATCATCGATGAATTGAATTGAGAACTTGATTTCGGGGAGATTTCTTTTGCTTTTCAAGTAAAGCTTTTCTTTTCTCTTAGTTGTCTCATTAAAAAATTAATTATTTCATAATTAATTTCAAGTATCGTTTGACTTCTTTTTTTTTTAATAAATATATTTTTGCTTTGTTTTGTTGTTTTTTCTTTTTTGTTGTTTTTAAATACATATCACAGATCCAGTACAAATATAAGTATATATATTTGTGTTTATTTCTTCTTCCTTCCTCAACTATGTTTAGATATCATATAAAACTCATACATTAAACATAACTCAGTGAGCACGCGCATGTGATACTGATATTTAGTACGAATGTGTGAATGTATGGGAGAGGTGTGTCTCAGGTGTGTTCTTCAGGTGTTTCATGTGAGTGTGTGTGTGTGTGGGCGTATGCAGGGGATCGTGAGCGTTTGTGTCTGTGTCTGTGATAGATACGACTATATAGTGCTTCGATTCTGATTCTGATTCTGATTATATGGGGGCTCTGAAATGGTGTTCGTTGCTCTCCCGTTCTGAAGTAAGGCGAAGAAGACGAAATAAATGTTCGTTTGTTGTTGGATTGGTAGGTTGATTGGTTGGTTGACTGGTTGACTGATTGGCTGATTGATTGGTTGACTGGTTTTTGTGGGGTGGACGAAGGGGGATCTGTGTTTTTATGCTTGTTGTGATCTTGGCTGTTGTTGTTTGTTAAGCTACGTTTCTTTCAAAGTTCTTACTGTGGAATTCTGCTGTTCTTAGACGGTCTATTGCATTGTATGTACTTTCAAATTGTCTCGATCTCTGGATTTTTTTCTTTATGATACTCATAAAATAATAAGTCTAAATAAAACACCAACATCGTTTTCCTTATTCCTTCCCCTTACGTTTTCGTTTTGTTTTCTTTTGGATGTTAATGCATATTTCAAGGCACACTAGCATTTACGACTGTACTTTCAAATTTACTCTCTTTTTTTTTTGTTTCCATATTTCTCATTAGTTTGCTTATAGATCTTCTTCGTTTTTTTGTTATAATTATCTTCTGTTTTCCATTTGATTTGTATTTTAATCGTATTATATAAATATTGCACAAATAAGAACAATTGTAGGTAAGTTTTAACAATAATAGCAAAAATTAATAAGAACAACTTTTAACTTAAATATATAGACTTAGCTTAGGATTGGTTGCCGTTGTGGTTTGTTTGTTACTTTTTATCATTTCACTACGGTGATGAGCGTTTTCAGTGATTGAATCGAAGTCGAAATAGTTATCGAACTGAGCAAAGAAGTGGTTGACTGATTGACTGATAGACTGACTGACTGACTGTCTGATTGAGTTGATTTCGATTGGTCATGATAATGTTGTAGACTGATTTGGTTTGGGGATACGATTGGGTTAGTGGTGGTTTAGCGCTCGTGGGTGGTTGGTAATGGGTGGGTAATGGCGGTGGCGGTGGCGTTTGTGGTGCGCAGAACGCTCCAAATTAAACAAGAAAATAAACGTAGCAGGTTTTTTAATCAAATTTTATTTAAATTTCGTTTCATCTTCGTTTTATTTATCGAAAAGAAGTGTTAAACTAAATTATATGTGTAAGGAATAAAGTAAACAAGAAAAATTTCATTACAAGTAAGGCATTTCTCTCTCTGTAGGTGAGTGGTGTTCGTATGGGTACTTTTGTCCTTGTGTGTGTGTTGTGTGTGTGTATATGAATAGGGAAAATTTTAAATGTGATGTTAACATCTCTTTTTTGTCTTTACACTGCGTTTCTAGATAGATATGTACATATAATTGTTGTGAAATGTTTGTTGAAATAATGTTTAATAATTGCACAATACTTAAAATTAACAAGGGAAATTGTTTGGTGGATAGTTTGTTTTGACGTAATATGAAGAAACCCCTAAATGAAAATGAATATTTTACAAAGAAACGTTGGTTTTGCTAAGGTTCTTAATGTTTTCATATTTTTGTTTGTTTTTAAGATACTTGTGATGCATTAGGTGAGAGAAAATGTAAGACTTAAAATTATAATGTAAGAAACAAATGTGCTAAATTTACCAAAGAAATGTGGGTAACAAACGCAAAATGACAAAAAAAAATAAAGTAAGGAGTGCAGTTCTCAGACTGGCAACTAACAAATCGCAATGTGTTTTTTTTTCATAAATAATACATATAAAACAAAAGATTTAAGGAGTAACAAATCGGGAGCACAAAATCAAAACCAAAAGGAGACTCACGTGCGCGCGCAACACATTAACACCACTCGATCCCATTTAGGATCGTCTCTAAAACTAAACAACATTATCATGATCAAGATCAACATCAACTGTAGCGTTCCGAAAGTGTTCATATACAGAGGTCGGGCTGCAGAATCGTGGGTGAATATAGATAGATATTAACAGCGATAAGCAATTATGGAGAGGGGCAACAACAGAGAACAGATAAAAAAAACAGAAAACTTTAACGAAATCACGGAAAATGTCAACAAAGTCACTCTTTTTTCTTGTATTTTCTTTGAAATTGTATTTTTCACTAGCCTGTTGTGGTTGTAATAGCAAGTGTTTTTCTTGTTGATTTTTTTTTTTTGGGGTGTAGTAAAATATTTACCTTATTTCGAGGGTAAGAATCACCTGAAGTTTTCACTGAAAACGCTCGCTCATTATACATTTTTTATCGTTTTAGCTCAACATAATGCTAATAATTAGGTGTGTGGGTTGGGTTTTTGGGGGGTGTGTGTGTAAGTGGGTGGTGGCATATGTATATATATATATGTATGGGCATATGTGTGTAGATAATATATATATAAACAAGACTCAACAACTGTGTACATATACATATGTATATATGCCCCATGTATATCGTATCGTATAGCTTGGTCGGGAGTACCAAAAACAAAAACAAAACACGCAACGCAAACATACGCATCACAAACAAACAAAACCCAAACGGTTCGGTTTTTCTTTCGCAACTAGTTTGTGTCTAACTGGCAATTGGCAATATAACTTGTTTTTCGATTTTAAAGTTTCGAGCGTGACAAACAAATGCAACAATGTATCGTAGAGAAGGGTAGTACATAGTATCTATACAAAATTTTCACTGTTTTTCCTTTCGCTTTCTTAAAGGGCGTTGTTATAATATTAAAGCAAATCTCTTGAGGTGAAGGCCTTGGAACAGTTTTACTCAAAAAGTGTATGGGTCTTGCAATACATAATTATTACTATTATTTTTTTTTTTAATTGCTTAACTCTTAGCTGCACGCATAACAATTGGTGTTTCCTTTTATGTTATCCCTTCTCGTAATATTTTAGAAATCGGGTTTTTTAGTTTACTATGTTCATCCTCTTTTTTTTTTAAGAAATTAACAAATTTGAGAGGAAAAACTTGCTTGTGTGATTTTCATTTTTTTTTTTTGGGTAAGGGGTTGTTGGGTAGTTTGGTTGTTGTTGTTTTGCTTTTTGCCTGCTTTTGTTTGTTGTTCTGTTAAGATTGCTGGTTGGTTGCTTTACTCGGATTTCGGATTCTCATGTTTTGTTTAATTCACAACAGTGGTTAATGGAATTTGTCGCGCCCTCTTTGCCTCCTCCTCGTTGATTTTCTGTTCAATTAGATATTGCGCTTTGGCAATGGCACTCGGCTGACCAGTTATGGTTACAATGCGATTTCTAGTGCCAGGTGCGAATATGCCCTTTTTGGAAATTTGCACATTTGCGCCAGAAACATGTTGAATTTCAACTAAACTACGACCGTTCGGACCTGGAATATTTGCATCAGATTTATGTTAAATATTTTTTTAAAGATATTAAATGATAGTATGGATAAAATATGTGGGTATAATAGTTATAAACGTATATAATATATAATATTATGTTTGGGCTTGTATAGCGGTAAGGTGGTTAGGGACGCCAAAACTATATATTATATAAAAGACAAACCAAAAAACGAAAGACAATATGCTGCAAAAAGGGGGTCAGTGTGCCTAACCTAATGACCTAACGACCTTACAACTGACACTGAGGTAAAATTAACTGCGCAACAACGAATGCATGTGGATCCAACAATTTAATAATATTTTACGCATGGTTACCCAAGAATTGCACTAGCCATATATCGATTAAAATTCGTTAGGCCTTAACAAAATGGAAAAGTGAATGGGTTTTTCTTTGCTCAACCTACAACCTAACTGCTATAGCTACTACTGCTACCTACTGCTCTCTTAAGCTAACGGATGCTGCTGTTCTGTGCGAATTTTCAGTGGGTCGGTATTTCCGGAATGGGGGGAGTGGGGATCATCAAGCGGTCCAGGGTCCTGGGTGGAATATCATCGCGGGGATCATGGGGGATCATATGCTGGCGGATGGGTGAGAGGCAAGAACTTGACTAGAAATTTCGCTATAAGTTTGAATGAATTTATTAGGAAAACCTTCGAAGAATGTCTAACGGAATGTCCCACGGAATGTATTGTATGGATTAAATGGGTTAACTCAATATATCGAACTCTCTCTTTTTCTATCTCTGCAATGAGTTTGGAATGAAGTGCCTGTGTCTGGTTGGCTATATAACTCTATAACTCTAATGTCTTTATGGCTAATCAAAAATGGAAGCGGGATGGGGGGAACTCTTAATCCACCGGCATTATTTTCACAGGTGCCAAGGGTCAAACGGGATTTTTTTGGGATAGGGGGATATAGGATAAGGGGTAAAGAAAATTGCGGTGCTGTTGGTTCTCTGTTGGTTGGGTTTTTTGCAATTTTTTTTTAGTAGGGATAATAGTATGGACGCGCACCTAGAATAGCGCCGATAATCACTTCCGGCACCTCGACGTTCTTCGAGTCCTTGGAGCTCAGGTCGCCCGGAGTGGGGCTCTTGCTGAGTCCGCCCAGCTGCGCCGTGGTCGCCGTTCCCGTGGCTGCCGTCAGCCCGAAGCTGTTGTTGTTCAGCGAGACGGGCGTGGCGCCCGGCGCCGTGGCCGAGCCCAAATGGCGGAATGGATCGAATTGCACCGCGGCAGCGTCCAGTTGCGACTGCGTCGGCCGGCTGGCGGCAGCTGCAGCGGCCGCTGCTGCGGCATACTGCTCCAGATTCACCTGGCCGACGGCACCGAACACATTGCTGGCGGTGGCCGCGGACGCGGCGGCCGCAGTCTGCTGGTCCAGCGTCGTCACCCCCAGGAAGTTGCCCAACGTGGAGTGGGCCCCATTGGTGTGCGGCACGCCCACGCCCATCCCGAGGACGCCGTACTTGGCCAGCACGCCCAGGGCGGAGACGACCTCGTTCGTCACGGTCTCCGAGTAGCCAGAGCCGCGCATGGCAACCTGTTTGGGAATAAAACAAAGCACAGATTAAGTATACGCCAGGTGTACAAGGGAAGGTATTAATCTGCTAGGTGGTACTAAAGTCTCCTTCGATTTGGTTATATATCCAATTTCATTACACTTATATTGGGATCAATTGGTTATTTAACTTCCTTTTCAGTAATTGGAATCAAAAGCTAAAAGCTGGATCTTTAAATATAATAGCAACTTCGAATTATAAAACCGATTTCTCAATGTGATTAGCATGACACTGACAAATCGGACCTAAAAGTATTAAAATCTCGCATTCTTACAAGATATAGAGCAAAATCGAAAGGAAATTAGTTCTGAAACCCTAAAAGCAACCCCCTTCTAACCTTAATATGCTCGAGCAGCTGAGTGGCAACCGCTAGATTGGGCGCCGGATTGGGTGAGCCCAGGTTGATGGACAAGTTAATGCCGGTGCCGTTGACTAGCAGGCTGGCCGCCGAGTTGGCGCCGCCGATCGTGGTGCCCAGCGTGGAGTTCAGCGAGGCGGTGCTCGAGTTGATGGCATTCTGGTTGGTGGCATACGGGGAGCCGGTCGGATTGAAGTTGGCCACCGGGCCGCTGACGTCCGCATAAGAGACGTTCAGGCAGGTGCCCGACTGGGGGTCCTCGACGATCTTCGAGAGGATCATCTTGCAGGCGTTCTTGTTGTTCTCCTTGTCGCCAATGATGGTGATGCATCGCTCCTGCAGCGAGACATCCTTGGGTTTCTGCGAGATCTGGACATAGGAGCCGCTCTCCTCCTTGATCTGTTTGATGAAGGCACCGCCCTTGCCGATAATCATGCCGGCCGTTGAGTTGGGCACCAGGATCTTGACCTGCTTGTCGCGCTCCTGGGTCTGTTTTGACTCGGCGTCGACGATCTTGTTGGTCAGGTCGGGCTTCTCGCGGATCTTGTCCATGATGAACTCGAGCACGACCATGATGGCCTCCGTGGAGCCGGTGATTAAGCACACGCGTTCAGTGGTGCCTATAAAACACATATATCATTAGTATAAATAGGGTACATATATAGATTATATAGGGAGTCTCACCTGGGTAGAAGTCATGGGACTTGGACATCTTGACCCTAGCACCCGTGTCCTTCTGCAGGGAGGCGATCGTCTCGCCACCTTTGCCGATGATGGCCCCGGAGGCCACCGCGGGCACCAGTATTTTCATGTGATACGTTGTCTCACCTGCAAGCAAAAGTTCAAAGTTCACAGGGCGACCAGTGGATTAGTCTCGGGGAATCTCTGGGATTTGGTTTCTTTTTTTTTTTTTGGTTTTTTAATTTGAAAATAGTTTAGGGGTTAGTTGTTGTTGTACAGGTTAGTAGTCTGTGTGCCCTTGGCTGGTTGCATACAATCTAGTTATCTGGTTATTGTTGGGTTAGTTAGATCTAGTTTCTAGCTCATTCGGCAGGTTATAAATTAAAAATAATAACAGCATTTCAGCGTCGATCGTTTGTTCGTTCGGCTGGGACGCTCGCAACGAGGGACGTTCGTAAGGTTCAGCATAAACTTGGTTAGTTTTGGATTGGTTATAGTTCTCAGATAGATCTCGACTTGGTTAGGCATGGTTTACTGCTGTGTGGGCATGGATTGGTTATGGTGGTGCAGGCAAATGGTGTTCGACTGTGGTCTGTTTTTTGTAGGTTTCTAGGTTTTTTTTGGTGGTGGGCAAGCCATGAGGGAGATGTGCGCTCGAAATGAGATGGAACAGACAATGCTGGCGACACACGAAACACATGAAAGACCCGTTTATTTTTTTTCTCCTTCGAAGGTCGTTGGTTGGCTTGGCCTGGCCAAAAAAAAAATGTTTAAAAAATTTTGTAAACAAAAACGAGAGCCCCGCGCAAATTACCATCTACATTGCCCGCTTGGGCAACCCACGAAAAAAAGCAAAAACGAAATAAATACGAAAAATGTAAGTCAAAGCAGAAGTCGGTCAAAGGGCCGAAGGTTAATGTGCTCGGTGGTCAGTGGGGTCACACAATCGGTGGTTCACGTTGGCAGTCCCAAAGTCAAGCTCAAAAAGCGCGGAAAAAACAGACAGCGATCTAGTTACAAAGAAACGATAGAGCTACGGTTTAAATATCTTTTCATTTTTTTTTTAGTCGGTATTAATCTTGAATTAGTCGATCGTTTTTGGCTAGACAAAGATGGATTTAATGGTATTTAATGAAAGTGTGACAAAGCTTACCATGATGAATATGATTATTGTTATTATTTTCAATTTCAACCTCAATTCCAGAACAAACTGACTCACCTGAAATGGAAGAAAAGAAGACAGAAACAATGATTATAAGTGGGGGATTGCCAGTAAAGGGCTAAGTGAATGTGGCGTATCATGGATGCAGATGGAGATGCTGGTTGAGATGCCGATGCTACTGATGCAGTGGAACACCTTCTGGGGGATGAATGATATCATCTGCGTCATCGCATAGCCTCAAGTCGCCGAGTAAACAAACAAATTTCAATTAATAAAATGTGTCAAGCGGAGACGCTCTATTACACAAGCGCATTGGCGAGAACAACAACTGAATGGAGCAGAAAATGGAAAATGCAATAGTATATATCTCACAGAATGGAATGATCTAAGCGCGTTGCACCTGCAACTGGGAACTGGGTGACTTGAGGGGCAGCCCAAGACTTTGCCGCTGCCACTTGGCACTCGGTGTGCTCGGTTTGTTTAAATTTAGACCCCACTCTATATACCCTTTCCCCTGCTCTTCCCCCAGGGTGAAATGTATGCCATACGTTGACGTCGTCTTGGTCTCGTTGCCACTCAGCAGCGGCAGAGTGTCCTTCAAAAGTATTTCTCTAATTAGATACAGCGAACATGTGTACATATACCATGATGTACCATGATATATGCGGTGGGGGGGTTCGGTGGGGACCATATTGGACCATTTTCGCCCTGCTTTGCATGCATGTGTGAAAATGCGATTTGCAAAGAATTCGCAATGTGCAACGAAAGCGAATTGAGCCCACATATTTAGCACCATGCTGGCCAATTTCCGCCACTGAAATAATTGAAAGTGCGCCGGACGCATCTGTCAGTTATCTATCACTTATCCGTTTGAATAGAGTGCATATCCCCAATATAAATTATATATGCATAAGGAAAAACAATAAAAATACTCGTAAATAAAAAGAGAGATGGCAGCAGGGTAAATAATATGCAGGAAGTAAAAACAAAATACAGCCATTTTGCTTAGCGCTTTATGGGCCACCAAGGACCGGCCAAGAACACTTTTGCGAAGCTGCATGGCTGTTGACACTGTGCAGCAGCTTAAATTATGTGACTGTCATAAATAACACTTGCAGCACATTGCAGCCAGAGACCGCCCATTGAGCTGCAAGTGGGCGTGGCTGCGACGGGAGGTTGCAGGATGGCAGCAGGCAGACTGGAGACTAATTTCGTATGCATTGTGTGCAGGATTGGACGGGAAACTAGGCTAACGACAAGCTGGCACACAGCTATGCCATCGCATTTACCCACACTGTGGCACTGCAACCCCCGAAACCACAATAAATGCCATGGAGCAATCTGCAACACGCAAATTGTTAAAGCAAAGCCCGCGCAGCAAGTGCTTGTCGCGTACCACGCGACGTATGCGTAATGCGGGGACATGTGGCACGCGATTAAACGATTGGATCCTGCCAGGAACAACTTCGTTTGTTTGCCTCCAACAGGAAGTGCTTAAAAAGTCTTTAAAGCAATAAAAATTAAAATTCCATTGCTACACTTATTTCAAAATCATAAAATCCCGTGTTTAGTGCCCTAATTATAAGATATAAGTGCTTGAAGCACTCGGATAGTAACAACTATATTCCTCACGGGAGTTGTCATAAAAAAAATATTTAAAGAAGCCATTAGATATATGCATAACTAAAATACACAACAATTTAAGGCTAATAACATTTTTTTCCTTATTTTTGAAGTGCTAGCAAGTAAATTAAATTATAAACTAGCAAGATTGGTTAATAAAATAAAAAGTACAACAATTCTGCATTTTTTTAAGTCTGTGTCTTTTCTTAGGTTTTTTATCATCATCATCAAATTTATTAACTGTTAGAACTTCAGAACTTCAATTGGCATTCCTAACAATCCTTATAAACACCCAAGTATACCACCTAAAAGTTTCCTTCCCTATAAACACACTGTGTCGCAAAATCCAAGCGTAAATCTTTATGCAACACTCATGAATCACTAGGGCATGCTGAAGGAAAGTCGTGTATACGTAAGACATAAGACATAATATTTTAAGGCACATTCAAAATTGAAATGGACGCCCACATTAAAGCGTACGATTAGCATATGAGATTTTTATATAGTCGATTGTGGCTGTTTTTTGGCTGGCTGGTCTGGTTGTTTCTGTTTTTGCTGCTTAGTTTTCTATGAGTGTTTGTTGATTCGGTTTTATTTTGTGTATCGGAATGTGTGCTGGATGTTGATGATGTTTGGATTATTTTCTTTCAAAACTTTCAACGCAATGTTAATGGATAATTCATTTATAGCTTGTGGCTTCTTGTTCGGCGTTCGGTTCGTTTGACATTTGGGCGTTCTTGTTCTTATTTTTTTTGGTAATTTTTTTTTTTAAGTTGCTGGCGGCATTTAGAATGAGGCGACGTGGTGATTGATGCTGTTGTTGGTTGGCTGGTTGGTTGGTTGGTTGGTTGGTTGGTTGTAGCGAGAGAGCTCGATAGTTATATAGATAGAGAAGTGGTGTACATTTTATGTATGGTGTAGTAGAGGAAGTTGTGCGCAGCTTTTGATTTGATAGTTCTATGCTGATGTTGATTGCTTTTGTGGTTCTTAATCAGACTCACCGTAACACCAGCAGGAGTTAGTCTTATAGTTGGGCCCCGATGTTGTTGCTGCTGCTGTTGCTGCTGCTGTCGCTGCCAATAGTGTTGCTCCCGTGCCGGCCGATGTTGCTGGCGGCGTCTGGAGACCTGGCGTGGCATTCGGCGAACCATTCTCGCTCAGGGGCGACTGATCCATCTGATGGTGCGGAACATTACTGGGATTAGCCGGATATTCTTGCTGCTTATAGCTATGAACGGCTAATGAGTATGCAGCGTTGCTATGATTGCCGATGTTGCTGATGTTGCTGATGTTGCCGATGTTGCTGATGTTGCTGCTGCTGCTGCCGCTGCTGCTGCTGTTGTTGCTGGTGTGTTGATGAGGGCGACGACGTGGTTGTGGAATGTCGTGGCTGATAGTTACAAGCTAGTTGCTGCATATGTGTGGGCGTTGATAGCTGATATCGATATGTGAGATGTTCATTTTGTGGCTCTAGTTCAGGTTCTTGTTCTTGTTCATGTTGCTGCTGTAGATGTGGCTGCTGCTGCTGCTGCTGTTGCTGCTGCTGCTGTTGCTGCTGCAGCTGCTGCTGCAAGTAATCAAAGCCAAACTGCTGCATCAGCTGCTCGGCCGCCCTGTCCATGGCCGCCTTCATAATACTCTCCATAATATTGCCTTGGAATTGGAATTGTTGCCGTTCCCGTTCAGTCTTCGGTTTGCTTGCGACGGAATTGATTCTGCCTTGAATCGATTGTACTCGTTCTTATTTATTTTATTTCTTATGTGTTTTGTAAATTGTATTTCTTTTTTGGATTTCTGTCTCGATTTAACCTACGCGCCGCTTTCCAATCATTAAACTTGTTCAATAAACGAAAGAAAAAGAAATGGAAAATTTGTTTAAATTAAGCTGGCTTTTCATAGGTTTTTTTTTCTTATTTGTATGCTCTGATCAGTGATCGGCGAGCGGGAGAGAGATAGAGCATCTCAAGGACCTTCTTTCTGTCTCTCTCCCCCTTGCACTCCATCGATATCTGAATTGCATATATATTCATTATTGATACATCGAGTTTAATGGCAGTTTGTAAGGCTTTGGACTGTGCATTTGTTGCTTTTCTTTTTTTTTTTGGTTGTTTGTTTGGGATAATGCTCTTCATGATGATGCGGTGGTTGTAAGTTTACATATATAGAGATATATAGATCGGGTTGATAGAGTGGTGACTTCGCAGTGGTTTAGTAGGTCGCTCGACTTCCGGATGACTTGAACTTGAACTTGAATTAATTCGATTTGATTCGATAGCTGAGCTGAGTTCGATATTGCGTTCGATATTGATTGGATATTGATATATATTGGTGTTCTTGGATGGCGATTTTAGTGTTCTTGTTCTGTTCGTGGTGCGTGGCCTTGGGCCAGTTCATTTTGGTATCTTGATGATTTCAGGTTAGATATTTTTGTACGATAACAACAACAACGATTACGATGCGACTATATATTTTATATAGATATTATATATAGATATATAGAAGTAGGCGGAGTGAGAAACAGACAGAGACAGAGAAAGCGGCAGCAGCAAGCTTCAGCAAAGGTATTGATTATCGATTGATTGTTTGTTGTCGATTGGATGGATTTGACATTGGCAGCCTCTGTTTTGGATGGAACTTATTAACTCATCAACTTATCTTTCGCATCGGAACAATAATACTTGAGATACACACATTCATATACAGACATAGGCATTGAGAGAGTAGTAGGATGACAATTGGTGCTATGGCGATATATAGAGATAGTATGTCCATGTATAATGGCGTTTGTTAATGACGATGGTTACACAACATCCAGAAATGCTATGGAAGACATTTAGAAAACAATGCCAAAGCTTTTACCATTCAGCTGTAGAGTTGAGTTCAGCTATCAGAGTTCAGAGTTCGATCGGATGTTTTGATGTTGCAGGTGCTGTCGGTTGGTTCTATAATACTTGAAGCTTGGCTCGATGACAGGACGGCGATCTTTTGAGATGATGTTGCATTTGTTTTGTTTTTTTTTTTTGATTTGTGTTTATTTTTATTTTCAGTCGTTTCGGTTTGATCAATAACTTTCGGCTTTTCTATTTTAGGCTTTACTTGCGTAGCATTATCACAACATTTTTAAACTGCTTTACTTGCTTGGGGGTTTATCACATTTGAGTTGAGTTCGGTTGAGAGTTTTCATTGGTTTTGTGGGAGGAATGCTGGTGGATAGTTTCAATTTATATTTAAATTATACGCGACTTTCGAGGTACTCGCTTTTTGTACCGCTATTATTTGCTAATCGCACGCTTTAAGTGGGGGGACAACAACAACAAAAACAACTGTTCGTGATTATTGAAAATGTTCTCTTTTTTTATATACTTTGTGGGTCTCCATTTCGTTTTTAACTTTATCGTTCTGCTGTGTGGCATGCACATCAATTTATTTTTACATTTTGTGTAGTATCTATAATTATATTTGCGCTATGGTTGGCTTTCGATAATTACAAGCACATTTATATGCATGGACGATAATGGTTTAAAATAAAATTACGAAAAAAAAATAAGAACAGAAAAACGATAATAAAAACGGTAATATGCAATACAGTGTTTGGATGTATTCAAAGCTGTAACAAATATCATGGTCAAATGGAATTGAGCGAATTGAAAGCATTTTAATTGATGAAACTGCGGATGCCCGTTGATAAGGTCCGCTGATGATGATGGGGCAGAAGCTGAAAATGGTGAGGGTAGGTCGATGGTATCTCTGCCCAGAGCACAATTACTACAGCCCATAATAACCAATTGCACTAAATATTTGAAACTCGAAGACCTTGACACCGTTTAAATAAACTGATTACCCCCAGAACCCACACAAGCATTAAATGGGCGTTTTTAATGATCCCACGACTAATCATTGTAGGGTCTATATTAATGACTAAATTCAAATTACTCAAATAAATAAATGTCATCTGACTAGTGGGAGAAAAAAAGCCAACTCACACTCCAAAGCGGAAATAAGAAAATGTAAAAAACATGCAAAGTGGGCGTTTCTGACTACCTTTGTGAGATCATCTTTCACACACATATACCCAGAAACCCTTTCGGCTCTTGAAATTGATTTATTACTCTCTCGCTAGAAGACGAAATGCCAAGCCAATGGCCAAAAACACCTGCCTTTGCCTTTGCAACTCTTGCCAAATGGCAGCCAAATTAACAACTGGTTGGCCAGAGCTCCGAACTCCGATTACACAATGGATAGTATGGATAGTATGGTGGATATTCAAAAGCTACTGGTTGAAACTGGAAGAGCCGTAGAAATGCGAAAACTGTGGCACGCATAAATAACACATTTTTCGTGAATTTTTCGGACATTTTCGCCAAAAATGCCAGCCAAGACAGTTGGGCAACAGCAGAAGAGTAAGAAGACGAGTTGCCAAGAAAAATAAAAGTAAAATGCCAGCACGTATCTTTGGAGCAGCTTTTGTGGAGAATATAATATATGTGTGTGTGTTTTTATTTTTATTTCTATTTATTTATTTTTTTTTTATTCGTCTTGGGCAGAGCCCGAGCAAACTTGAGCAGTTTTTGGGCATGGCCACGAAGTGTCTTGACTTATTTTTGGCTCTTTCAAACGAACACACACAATCGCAGAGATAGAGTGAGACATGTTTGCCCACATTCAAATCGCATTTCAAGGTTACGTTTTGCCGCCGTTTTGCTTCCCGCATTTTCAAGTCAACGTTTTTTCTGTTATTTTTTTTATGGTTTTTTTAGAGCCCTAAGTACAAGTGTATGTATATTGAGAGGGAGCGTGACTCTTGAGTTAATTACGAATACAACTAACTCGAAATTGATTTTGAGAATCAACTGATAAAGAGCCCGCGATTCAATCCGATCCCAGCTTGAGTTGAGGTCAAACTTCAACTCGAGTTGTCGTTTGTTTAGTGCTTTTTTGAATAATCATTATGACTGGCATTGAACTGAATACATTGCTATGTGGTGTGGGTTCGGTTGGCTTTTCGTCTTGGCTTTTCAGCGATTAGCAAATGTTAATATTGATGGAAAAGTGTGTGAGTGTGTGTGTGTGTGTGTGTTGGCCAATGGAGAGAACAACAAACCAAGAGGCGACCTTGAAACGCTAGATAAACCCAGTTGACAAGACGTTAATTGTCGCGTTGCCTAATATTAATATCGGAATATTACGCATACGCAGTGTGTGTGTGTGCGAGTGGTTGTGTGCTCGAGGGGCAAACAGTTAACAAAGCTCCTGGCAAATACCGAATGAGATAAACCCTATAATTACCAATGCACACGCTAATTACCAAGGTCAACAAAAAAAACAACAGATACTTTTAACCGACAGATACTTTTAACGTACAGAAGCTTTGTTGCTGTAGCTGAAAGGCTGGCTGCTGCTGCTGAAGATGGAGTTGATGGCTGTATCCCAGTTGCTGAGGATCCTGCTGCTGGGACTGCTGCTGCATCATCATAATGGGCGGACTGATCGACGTGGACGAGCTGGAGGTGGTGGTTCTGGCAAACAACATGCTGCTGGCCAAAATAGCCGTGAAACTAACAAAAAACACTGGCTAACAAATGGTGGCGCGTTGGCTGGGTATTACGTCTATATAAAAAACGAGCGACAGCGAGCGAGCGAGCGCACGAAACGAACGACCAAACCGCACTGAAGAATTCCGTTCGGCGCGAAGACGGGGCCGCGACTCAAGCATAGAGTTTGGCCAGAGAGCCGGAGAATTGAATTGGAGAATCTACAGGCGAAAAACAAGCGAGATCCGGAGAGCGAGTTCATGAGTCAGAGTGTACGATCATGATGATGATGATGATGATGACGACTGTGTCTCTGTGTATATGATCTAATGCTGCCCCGCTGATTGCCTCACTTCACTCCATCATGTCACTCGGTTCATTATCAACGCCGAAAGAGAGATAGAGAGGGAAAAAACAGGGGCGGAGACACGAGTAGGGGGCGTGTGTCGAAAATAGAAACTGCTGTGGCAACATGTGATATGGAATGAGCCAACGTGATAAGCCAGCGGCGAAAAGAGTGAACGTGTCACGTTTTCACCCTCGAATCAATAAGCAATCAATGGGTAAATTAAGCTATGTGCCTAGCGATCCATAAATGACAACTGGAAAAAGGGGGTCAGATCCTTAAAGAACGATTTAAAGCGATTCCGAATACTTAAGCAAAACAAATTGACTTCGTGGCACAAGTTTAGTCAACGAAGACAGGAAGTAAGTGCTTCAACGCGAATTCTTCAGAAATAGATAAATTAACTAGGTTCTTATCGAGGAAAGTGTAAAATACGTATATAGTACTTCCAGTAATTTAAGGATATGTTGGCAGAAGAGTAGCCTTACTTCTGTCACACCCAACTACTGAACGACCCACGCTGCGTATGCGTAATTTAAGAGCTTGTGATGACCCAATTATCCAAAAGGAAGCCGGGTTTGTCCTAATCACTGGCCCCCAAAAAGAAAGCCCAACCCCTCGAGTTATTAGTAGGCCACTCGAGATGCTCCACAAGTGCAGTCACACCAAATGCCTGGCCACTCGAGCCGCAAAACAATGGAATGCACCTAAGAATAAGGTAACCCAAAAACACGCCACAGAGATACCAGTACAGATTGTGGCCAAAAAGTAGTGAGAGTGCGAGTGCGAGAGAGGACCAGCCCTTAGGCAGTAAACGCACTTGAGATTTGGCCAGGCAACAGCCGAGCTGAGCCCCTATACCATATAGCATATACCATATTATAAGGCTGCAGCTAGTCAGGAGGCAACCCAGTTGAGCAGGACCCACCACTCAAGGACGTTGCTGCTGCGGCTGCTGTGGCGGCTGCAATGGCGCCAAATGCTGCAGTGCAGCTGAATGGCCACCGAGTTCGACTCCAAGGCGTCCTACTGCGCAGGACCTTTCAATTCCTAGGCGAAGAACCAAAAAGAAAAAAAAAACAGCGACCACAGGCACACAGATACACGTACGCACCCGCATTGTCATCAAAGTAGGTCAACCGCTTGCCGTGCTGTCAACGTTTTTCCGAGCAGAGAGCAGCAGCAGCAGCTCAGCTCGGCTCGACTCTCCTCTCTTCTCTTCTGGCTCTCTCTATGGTAGAATACACCCCCTACTATTCGCACGCTTTTCCAGCCGCCCTGCCAGCACTGATTACATAAGCCCCAGTACCAGACGCAGCACCACATCTCCACCAGGCTGACTCGCCGCCCCCTTTTTCCTCGATTTTACTGCATTTCCTTTGCAGCAGCCCCAGCAACTGACGCATTTCTAGTCAGGGCTGCATGGAAAATAATAGATCTATTCTAATGTGTAGAAAAAAATATAAATAATATCTACTAAAATCTAAGTTTGATAATAAAAATTTAAAAAAAATAACAGCGCTTTTTCATTATGAAGAAAAAATGTAAATGATTTCTTTTAGATTTAAATTTGATAATGAAATACAAATGAAAACAAGTTTAAGCAATAAACAACTTTTAGAATGGATTATATCATCATAGAATATCTCAAAAGATTAAATTATAATAATAAAATATTTATAAAAAAAAGTATAGACAATAAACAACATATACAATACAATAGACCATCTAACGTGTGGAAATGCACAGCTAAAAATATTTATTCTGCGATAATATTTGTTGTTTATTCAAGCCGATCTTAGAAAACGTGACTTTAAAATGGTGTACAAAATAACAAAATATCTATTTAAGCTGTTATTTCTCCGTGAAACTCAAACTATTCAGATATTCAGCCATGACAGCCATAAATAACAAGAAAACTGAAGAAATAAATAGATATTAAACAAAACAAATGACTGTCAAGGCAGCTAAGCAAATAAATTGCCAGAGAACTAATAAAACGACGTGGGTAAATACCCGAACCCATAGTCTATGCGACATGGACCTGTTCTGTGTCCAGAAAAAGCCAGACAGACAGACTCAATGGAGGCTAATTAATTACAAATGCCCAGCTGTACACACACACGTAATGTATCTAACCATCTATGTATTTATATGGGATCATCTAAAAGCGTTTGAAACGCAGACTGGACAAACAGCTGATAAAATGCTGCCGTTCTTAACATAACCCATAAAATAACGTCAAATTATAGATAATATTCATATTTACCTAGCTAACAAACTTGAACTTACTCGAACAGAACTTCCGCATTCCAATGGACGAATTAAAACTCAAGAATTTTGATGCAACATTAAGACAACACGTGAATTTTCGTTAATTTTCTTTAGATTTTTTTTCTTTTGTGCTACAAACGTACGTATACCACAAAGCCTGCTCTGTTGAATGGAAACTGAAACTAAGTATCTGTATTCCCAATTGACAATCATCGAACTAGCACGCTTTGGGTCCCCCCCCCCCCAGACAATTAAGAAACTCGAAAACGTGTTCGCAGCCCCATCCGTCTAAATATCAAAAGCCAGCGGGGGCGACAGGCAGACAGGCCGACTCTAACATTTACACCTTTTGCTATTTTGGTGGCTATGACGACAGGTACTTTGATTGCGTAGTGGCTGCTCACCTTGGATTGGAGCTTGCCAGCTGGTTTTCGAGCCGAACAAATCATGCAAAGCAACTAGTTAATGGCTCGTGGTCAGACAGACAGACAGCATGGATATGGATATATACGGGGGGTTTGGCAATGGAGCTTACGGATTACGGAGGAGGAGGAGGAGTCTCTCTTTCAAATGCTAATCTGAGGAGCAGCTCTTCAAATGTCACCCGGCGGAGTGCTCAGGGACTGGCATCTCTAATTGCAGGCCATTGATGAAGCTGCAGGAGATTTCTGGCGGAGGTCATTCCGTAAATTGGGTCAAACTGGGCCCACAATGTCTCGGCGCCAAATCCTGCGCAAAGATTCTGCCGCCAGCCAAATGCCAGATGCAAGTTGTCACTTTTAGATGTACGTATACGTATACGTGTGTACCAGGGGCTGTACGAGAGATGTGCCCTCGGGGCGTATACGCCATATCTGGCTTAATTACGAATCAAAGTCTGCCTGTTCGGTTGCAAAACTGACATCGAACGTATTGGGGGCAAACTGCAAATGAATTTCTCGTGCTGATTAATTGAAACTTAAGAAATAACAACGGCAACAACAACAGCGACAAACGACAAAAAAGCAACAAATTCATAGGTACAGGGTATACATATATGTCTGTAGGATAGTATATAGTATATGGTATAGTAGTATATCTGGGCGGGATATATTGCGGTGGTAACAACAACATGACCATATAACAAGAAAGGGAAACGGCACGATCGGCAAAAAGTTAGGCAAACAAATTCAATGAGTTATTTATACGCTTCGGAGATAAAGAGCAGTGGATAGATAGATAACGAACGAGAGTTTTTGGATAGATATAGACAGATATATAGACAGAGAGATAGTAAGAGAGATAGAGAGGTAGAGAGTTTGAGGAGAGAGCACGATAATGGGGATATGCAAGAGCGATTTGAGATATTTTTCAGTTTCTTTCCTTCTGCTGGCGGAATGAATTTGGGATTCGATTTTGATTTGAATTTGATTTGGATATTGATATTGATTTGGAATTTTGATTTGGAATTTGATTTGGATTGGATTTTGGTCAACTTACCGGAACTGAAATGTGAGCGTTTAGTTTGTTCATTTTCCGGATCGGAATCGAGTGGCCTTTTGCGTGAGTCGCCGATTTCAGGACTTGGACATGTCTCCATGGTAGCGTCTTCGGCCATTTTTAACTGAATGTTGCTGGTTTTGGTTATCGACTTTGACTGATGATTGGCTTTAGCTTTAGCTTTTTGCGTTTGCTTTGGGTATCTGTTACTGTTAACTGTTACTGTTTACTGTTCTGTTTCTATGTCTCGTTGGAGTATTTCTTTTTCGATTTGATTTGATTTGATTGGATTGGATTGGTTTTGGATTGGCTTGGATTTGATTGGATTGATTCGGTATTGATTCGCTTTTGGTATTTTGGTTAAACGACAACGAAACGTTCGATGTTTGGTAATGAGGCGTCTGTTTAGCTTGGTATTATTTGGTTTTTGGCTTGCTTGGTATTGTTTCTGGTATATCTGTTTTGGATTTCTTTTTTTTTTTGGTGCGTGCGAGCGAAAGAGCGATAGAGCGAGCGAGCGAACGAACGATCAAACGAGCGCAGGATATGCGTCAGTCACTGTCCTTTTAGTCCTGTGAGTAGTCCTTAAGTCCTCGTCCTCGTCGTCGTCCAATGGATGCGATTCGATGCGATGCCTTATCGGGGGGGTTCCGCCACTGGCATCTGAGAGATTGATGGGCTATGTGGATGAGGTCCTTGGTCCTTGGGTGCGCTACTGATGCTGCGACTCATGCACACACATGGAGTAACACCTATCGATCGCTCTCAGTGACAGTGACAGTTCGTGAACGTCGCTATTTATGCATATGCACATATGTGTATAACCTCTATTACGATCCTTCTAGATTTCAGTTTTCATTTCGTTTAGTTTTATATTTTTTTGTTTTTTGATTTTTTTGTTTGGTGGTTTTGTGGTGGAATGTGCGAGTTTTGTTTTTTTTTTTTTTTTGTAAACGTTTATATGAAAAAAGAAAAAGAAAAAAATATTTATGAGTGAATTATGCAGCAATAATAAATATACATACAGTAAACATTTAGGCAATATATAGGTATGTACTTCGCATTAAACTTGTAGATATATAGATACAGTTGTCAGAGTGGCAATGCATTTCTCGAGTAGTAAAACACACATGGGTGAGTAACATTTAGATAGGTAGGTACAAACATTTGAGTTGATTTTATTTGATTTGAATTGATATTGATTTGTTGTTGCTCTTTCCACTTAAAAGAAGCTATTTACAAAATGAGCAAGGCATCTCTGGCGAGAGTGTATAGAAAAAGGGGGGCGGGATTTTCTGGGGGTGGACCGGGCGGATCTTTCAAAAGCGTGGTTCGTGTAAGGCATTCACATATCAAAACGGTTCGGAGCAGGCAGATGAGAGGGTTTTTGAGATAGATTGGTTTGAAGCAAGCTTGTGAACGTTGAACATGTGGAATGATGGAAAGCAGACGACAGCATGAATTACAGGAATCCATAGAAATAGTTTTGAAAGCAGGCCCCCTATAAGAAAGGATCCCATGTGGGGAAATGAGGTTAGAAGGACTGAGAAAACTCTGTATCTAAAAGTACGCTTTAAAATTAGATCTTATTTCTATCTAAAAGAAGGTTAGTTTAAGTTGTTCCTATAAAAAGGTAACCGAAAGAGGGTAAATAGGCTAAAAAATACCCTTTCCTTCATTAAATATACATTTATAAAATCATATATTTTATTTTTACTAACTTATAGCTTTCTTACTCAACTTAAATAAACGTTAATTCAAATAAGGACCATCCTCAGGAAACTGGTTCCTTTTACAAAATAATCCCTTGGGCTAAAATAGAGTGGCAAGGGTTCAGAAATCTCTGCACTCTGTACCCAAAAAATCATATTTAAGTCACGATCCCAATAATAACTCCCCAAACACTGGGCTTATGAATTGTTAATTCAAATTCGTTCCACCTAAACCTTATCTAAACAAGTTCGTCCACATGAAGCAGTATAAGTTAGTTTCGAATACCTGAGCCAGTTTGTGTTTTGTTTCATTTTTCTTTCATAAACATGGCAATGAAAATGAACCCAACTTGCAACTCAATTATGCATGAGATGTTTTATTTTATTATGATTTCATTGCTAATTAAAAATGCGCCGACACAAAAACCGAAGCGCGACCAACAAACGGCAACAACAAGAAAAAATCTGCAGCGACGACAGACGACGCGAATTTATTTGTTTAAAATGGCGTTTAATTATACAAACATTTTTATATATTTTATTTCTGTTGGTAGTGCTGAAGCTCAAGTGTGCGTTTGTTGTATGTCGGTGGGTATTCGATTTGACTGCAAACGACCTTGACCATTGAATACGTTTTTTTTTAGTTTTTTAAGCGACCACAAAGCAAAATGAGCAATAAATCGAAGAGATGGCAAAAGCCACCGACGGACGTTCAATGCTAAGCAAAAGCGCCCAGATACATAGATACAATGCGTACTATTAGATACTGGTTTGCAATTGTATGGCCTGCGCTGCACAAAGAGAAAAAATGGCACGTGATTCGTATTACGATTTAATCTAGAGATTTTTAACGATTTGTTACACTCTCATTTATTTGAAAAATATTCTATATACAATATTTAGTTTTATTTGTGCCAGAAAATGTATCCCAACTGAACGTTATTCCAATCTACTAATTTTAAAAATCTATGTAAGCCCCTTTTTGTCCAGTGTAAACACGGCACCTGTCGTCGACAACGCAGCACCGAGAACAAAACAGGTAGGTCGCACAAATTTGCATTTACTTAAGAAATTAGTGGGGCTACAAATACAAAAATCAAGAAACTAAAGATCGATTTAGCATGAGATGCGGCGTGCTGTAGAACTGGTTTTCGATTGATGCGATTTGCGGGAGAACCAGTTGCTTTTGCGCCTCGACTTGGCATTTGAGTTTTTCAATTAATTCACTTAATGCTTTTCGGTTGACTATTTGTATTATTTGGCTGACGTTCGCAGAAGAATTCCCATTCGAGGCAAACGGGTCGAAAAATGGCGTCAGTTAGAAGTCTAAACAAAAGTAGCATATTAAATGCGACAGCTTGGCAATCAAATTTCAGGCTTAGGCTGCAACTTGGTCCCAAATCTCCGAGTAGTGAGCCGCCCCCATTTCCAAGTCCCCAGAGATGCCCCATGCCACATGCCACATGGCAGCAGGCGGCAAACACGCAAAGTGCTCGACATTTTTCACTTTTTCTGTGTCCTTGAAAACTGCAGCGGGCCAAATGAGATTGGGAAAATGCTTTTTTTTTTGTCAGCAGAAAAAAGACTTTTCTTTCTTTTTCTTGCTTTCGCCACGGCGATGGTTAGAATAAAAGCACAACAACGAGAAAAAGTCATTGATGCACTCAAGCCGAAAATGTGTTAATGGTGATGAATTGGAAACAGCTGCAGCATGAAATTCACTCTCCAATCAGCCCAAGGATATTCCGTCGACAGAATAATAATCATTCGAAATAGTTCGTATGGCGAAAGTGGGCGAAGAAAACTAGGGTAGTGCCTTGAAACAGGTTGCCTGTACTTGCAAGTGTGTTATCTAACTTCTAGTTGGAATACATATATTGGAGCAGCTTGCTATATAAGAAATATGGCATATGTACAGAGTACGAATCATTCACCCTTTTGCGGTATCCACCGAGTTCAACTTGTGGAAGCCTGCAAGAACCGATTTCTTCTCGCACTTCCCGGTTTATCATCAAAGTTCTTATGTGGAATGGGGGGAAAAAAACCTCAGCATATGGAAAAAATATTCCATTTACTCAGGCACTCGTAGTCGTATGCTTACATACATAGGGCCAACTTATCTCCCAGTCGGACTCACAGTTATCACTCGAGCGGAGACGACGGCGATAAGGTTTATTTTCGTTACTTTTTTTCGGTTTGTCGATAAGGCGGCCGGCCAGAGACGTAGATAGGAAAGCCAAGCGATGGGGTTCCGTTTGAGACGGAATCAATCAAAGGGGCTACTCAACGCCCCTGGAACTCTGACGATATTATGACTTTTCGTGAGCTACTTGTTTGCAGGCGTACGAGAAGTGAGCAGACAGAAAATATGGAATAGAATGAGCATGACATCAGAAGTTTGGAGCGAAGTTTGAAAAATACTTTTCGACTTGAAGTTTGAACTATAGTTGGGTGGTTTTTTTCTCTTCTATTTTTTTTTTTTTGAGGGGGACGACACGCGACACGCATCTCATTGTCGGAGAGTAAGATTTATGTTTTGTTGCCTAATTGAAAGGCCTGGGTTGTTTGCATGTGCGCTGCTGGCCGATAAGCAGTTCTTGAGCGCCTCTCAAATGTACATTGTACACTGTATGTAGATGTCCCTGCTCGGGCGCCATGTATATGTAACGAAAAAAAAACACTTTTTGGGGTTTGGGGCCGGGGCGCTTTGGAGGGGGAACCACTTTGTGGGACTCTCAAGTAACAGACTGTCAGTGGCGATGATGATTCCCAGCACTTAGCGACACGACACTCACTTGAGACTTGTACAATTCCAAATTGAAACTTCTGAAATAACGCACACTTCGGCGACGGCAGTGCGCGAGTACGTGAAAATCAAATACAACTAAATTCAAAAACTGAAAACAATTAAAAACGAAATGGGTTCCGAGGCGGGCAGGCCAAAGTATCTACGAGATTCAAACACTTGCCAGTTGGAGAGAGCGAGAGAGCCTGTTCCAAGCATAGCGATAGAGATAGCGGGGGAAAGGGAGTGTGAGTGTGAGTGGGAGAAGGAGAGAGTGTGTGGGAGCGGAGAGCGAGAGTATCTGGCAGATACTTTATCTACAAACTGTCGAGTTTGCAAGTGTTTGCTCAGCCGTTTTCAGAGCTCTCTCGCCTGCATGTGTATGTGTATTCATACTCTTATCAGTAAATAGTTTACGCTATATGCTGCACTTTGCTCGGTTTCCCTCTCTTCCCCCTCTCTCTCTCTCTATCGTTCGTTCCCACTCCCACTGTCATTCGCTTAATTGTTTTGTTTTTGTTGACTCGGCCGTGTCTCAGACGCCTCGACGCTGATAAAACTTTAAGTTTCGGCCATCCTCGGGTCTTAAGTGCTCTCTTGAAAATACTAACCCTAC